ACGCACGTTCAGAGAGACTAGTGTCAAAAAAAGGAGATAAAAGAAAAATACTGGTTTTAGAGGTATGCCACATCAGCTTCGCGCAGGCATACAAGACATCATTAAATTTATAAAATGATATTTTTGACTTCTTGTGAAAGGAAGAAATGAAAAAATTTCATGTAACCTTGACCGATATATAACTAATGTGAATTATTTATTTGTTTTTCACTTTGAGTTATAAGTTTGACTTTAATATACATTCCATCCAATATAATTTGAATTATTTAGCTGTTTTTTTTGTTGTTTTTTTTTTGTTTATTTTGAAGGCTACTTTACTATTTAAAACAAACTTACTCGTATTTCTTCCACAACTACCTTAAAGACGAATTTTCTGGCCAAGATATATTATTTTTCATATTGATAAAATGTCTAGTTTTATTTCTCAAAATAATAGGAAGCTGGTTTTTTCTCTTTGATCAATCAGAACTATTCAATTGGATTATCAAGTTCATTTTCAAGAGAAAAAAGTTCTCTAAAACTTTGAAGAACAATTAATAATATAGATGCTTGTCTTAGGTCTATATAGAGTTAAACTAAAAAAACGAAAATCAAAATCAATAAGATAGTGACAACAACTAAACTAATGACAATAACATGTAAAATATTCTTATGAACATAAAATAACTCAAGAAACTTATGATAATTAAAGTGATTTTATGAGATAAATTTCATATATGACCTACTACCTTTGGAATTTTTATATGAAGAATTAACCTAAATAGACATTTACTAATCGCTTAACCTTAAAATAGTCCGTGAATGTATAATATGTAAATAATCCATGTATAATCATCATCCAAAAAAAGGGGAAAGAGAACAAAAGAAAAAAATGTAAAAGAGAAAGGAAAAAACAAATAAATCCCACAAACTAGACATTAGCAAAAAAGACGAAAAAGTGAGAAATTGAGAATACAAAAGATTAAAGAACGTTAAGGTATTCAATAATCCATATAGTAGTAGAGAAAGCATCAAATATCAAATATTGCTCAAATTATAAAACAAAATGTATGCAACATCTAGTACCAATGCAATATTATTAAAAATAAAAAAGAGGAGTAAAAGATCCCTATATCAGTGGTGGAAAATGACAAAAAAATAAGTTAGCCATTATCACAAAGAAATCAATAATAGAGATTGAAAAACAAAAAAGTGAGAAAGCAAGACATTCTAGGAAGAAGGAATTCCGAAAGCTACAAGTTTAAAGTGGAAAATCAAAAGGCAGAAGAGGTAATAACAAATATATGGTTTCTTTTCCTCCGCTGCTCCCTTCATAGCTATTGTTGTCTTCCTGCAACTCACATCTTCATATCATCATACTCAATTTGTTCATCGTGTCATAATATAGATTGCAAGATCACTATTAATGTCCTTCATTTACTACCGGCTAATGAAAAGGTATGAGAAACGAAAGGTTTTAGAAACTGAAAATGGGGCAGCAGATAGTTAAGGGACTTTCCGTAACTGAAATATATATAATGAGATGTAATAAATACAATAGAAAATGATCAATTTTTAATTATTGAACAAATTAAATTAAATGAATGAAGGGGGAAAGGCAAAAAAGGAGAAAAAAGATAAATAGGGTCATTGGCCAAAGAGAGGTGCCAAATCACCTTGTCCATTCCCTCTTTTATATATATACTAGAGAATTTATTCACGCTTCGCGCGGTGACAAAAGGCATATTAATAAAATAAATTTTAATTAAATCAATTGACATAACATTGAAAAATATTTTCATGTATCAGTAACAAAAATTAATTCTATATAAATGAAGAAAAAATGTCTACTTTCTTGGCACCTTCGCACGTACTTACACATTTAAAGTTGTTGATATACATTTCACTTTTAAAAATAAAATAAGGATATATTAGCTGAATATTCTTTGAAATAATTCTTTCTTATACCGTTATTAAAAGCATCTACTATAGGAAAGAATTCAACACAACTTTTAGTTTTCTGTACCGATTTAGTTTTGGTATTTTTCACATCGTTTCTTCACCACAGTAATATTGAGTAATGGGACATGCAATTTTAGGCTTTTTAAAATAAACTAAGTAAACAAACTCATCTAAGACTTAGTAATTTTCTTATTTTCTTTTCCTTTGCTGTTTCTCCCAGCTTCGGATCTTCCCCTTTGCCCTTACAGATATGTTTAATTGTTCTCTTCACAATTTTTGTCCATGTTCCTCCACATATTTCCTTCTCTTCTTCATCATTTGATCATCGAGTTTCTTCAATGAAATTCCTCCTCTATTTTCTTCTGTCACCCTTCCTATTAACTAAAACATGGAGGCTTTGAAGTAGTTTGGCAGATTAACTGAATAGACCCTTTCATGAAAACTTTAATATCAGGGGGGAAAACGGCACATGTTCCATTAACACACCTCTACTCAAATCTGACATATTCTTAAGTTGAAGTTTAACCTTTTAGGCTTAAATGTTGGCTCTGCCGCTTCCCTTGCCCGCTTTAATTATTTGCTTTAGATCTTTCTTCCAATCTCCCTAGCCTCTAAATGCATTATGTTGCATCTCCTTTTCAATGATTTTATTGTCTACTCCTGAAATATTATCTCAAGAAATAAGAAATATAGACATGATGATATTTAGGTAAAAGTTGTCCGTTCAAATTTAACTTCCAAATATACTCCAAAATAAACTCAATCTGTTCAAATTTAACTTCCAAATATACTCCAAAATAAACTCAATACTCTATGATATGTTATCATTTCGTACAACTATTTTTGGACTTGTCGATTTAATTGTTGTGCCTATGCTTGCTTTTCAGTGATCTAGTCAAATGATCTTTAATTTCTCAAATAGTGATAAGAAGAAGAAGTTGCATATAAATATCGAAGACTTAATTACATTAATATGCCTTATGGCCAAAATACTGAAAATCCATGTTACCTACAAAATACTTGGTGAATACAAATTTGGATTAGTTTTCTCAAATGCGTATCTTATGTAACCAACTAACCATGACAAATATTTCTTTAAGAATAAGAAGATGATAAATAAGAAAAAACAGAGGGATTTGAGAACTACTGCAGAACTAAATGGAAATCAGAAGAATCGATATTACCGAATTAGTCAGGATTGTGATTGGCACGAATCAACAAATTGTATTGAACCTTCTCTTGTTCTTTTTTCCAAGTTTTCCTCTTCCAGAGCCTGCTATCAAAATCATTCTATGCCCAAAACATAAATATAACAAATTCAATTTTCAGGTAAAAACCGACCAAAAACCCATGTTGCTATATCAGTTTTCCCCGTGGGTTTAGATTTAATAGTATCAAATGTATTAAGTCACTTCATTATCAGAACAAACCGTTGCATTTCCCAAAAGCAACGGTTACATACGTTACACTTACAAGAATTGATGAAACGTTGTAATTAGTACTAATAGAATCAATTCATGAATAGATGCAGTCATAACATGAATCGTTGGAGTAATACTTATTAAGCTTTAATGTTACAATAGGATATAAATAGGAAAATATAATTAAAAAGTCAAAAAATTGAGAAAAAAGTTAAATAGGATCATTGGTACTGGTTCTGAGTTTTGTCCCCAGCTGAGTCGCCAGAGCTGTCACACCTCCTTTTTCCGCCCCCGCGAGGGGTGAATGAGTTTTTCCAATTAAAGGACAATCGAAACGGGATTTGTTTATTTATTTCAGAGTCGTCACTTGGGAGATTTAGGGTGTCCCAAGTCACCGGTTTAATCCCGAATCGAGGAAAAGAAGGTGACGGGCCTGTTTGGTGTTTGGTGATGGCGGGGAGCTGTGGAGGGTCGTTTGAGCAGTGACGACGAAAGCGAAGCAGCAGGGCTCGTCGGATTTAATGGAGGAAGGAGGCGATGGTCGTTCGGACGTGTAGCTAAACCCATTAGCTAGGGTTGTGGCTCAACCCTAGTGTGGGTAATGGATGGGTGTTGCCTTCTAGTGTTAGATTGACTATGGGTGTTTGCTATTTAGGTTGATTTTATGTTTTAATCTAGAATTGGTGGTTGCAAACACCGATTCAAGCTTTGTGGCAGCCCAAGTTGCACCTTCTCGCGAATGAAATGACAGCCGATATCAATATATTTTGTGCGCTCATGAAACACTGGATTAGCAACAATTTGAATTGCTGACTTACTGTCACATAACAAAGAAACTGGTTGTTGAATATGCACCCCTAACTCCTCAGACAAGCCAGAGAGGTGCAAGTCACCTTTTCTATTCCCACATATATATAGAGAGAGATACACTCATCACTTTAAGTTAACTTTACACTACTACCCTACTTCATTCTCACTACTCTTAACACATTTGTAGCTCTCTAACGTAGTTGGTCAATTCAATTATTCTTATTATCAAGAAGAGTGTGAAATGATGCAGTAAAGAGGGGACAACTTACACACACAAAAAAAAATGGAGTGGACGAGTTAGCTACTAACTTAATTTGGATCATAACCGTGATAGTTGTAATGCTAATGAAGATAATGTTCAACAACGAAGAGATGAGATCTGCAAGCTACTACTTAATTTGGACTCTTTAATTAGATGTCTTAGTGTCTTTCAAGCTTAATTCAGGCGAAAGATAAGAAATAACGTTCTAGATATGATTATTGAATTTTCTTGGCCACTTAGGAATCTGGCCCCTAATTTCCGTGACAAAAGAAGATCTGTCAAAGTGATTTAAATTCGGGAAAATAACATTGTATAGCCGCACTCAAAATAATAGCTGAAAGAATATATATATTTAGTGTATTTAACTTGCAAACTATACCATGTAAATCGAAAGTATTGGGGAAATTGTCTAAAATAGGATCAAATTGTTTTTATAGAATTCAGATTAATTGCCAGTTTATTTGGCAGGATAAGAAGTGTACAAATGTAGCAACTCAGAAATGCAGTCGAAATATGCTTTAAATGCAGTCTCAACCAACTCCCTCGTTTAGCTATATCCAGCAATAAACACCCTTTTATCAGCCGGTATGTTCCACAGCAATATCTTATCTCCTCTGTAAAAAATCATCTTCTTCTTCCTCCTCTTATTCTTTGCCTTACGCAATAACTGCAGTGAGAAATACTCAAGACAGAGCTAAAAGTAGTACTTAGTAGAAACACATGTCGCAATTCTGCCTGTTCGGTTAAGCAAGCACTAAAAGGTGATGGTGTAGTGCCAAAGGTTGCTTTACTAAGTAAGATAAGGCAAGAAGCAAGAGCATAGCAATTGCAAGAAAAGCCGACACGCCTTAGCGCAACTGTTTTCTAGCTCGTTACCGTTGTTTTGTGAAAGAAGGGGCGGAGCTTGAAGTATTTAGCATGACGAACAACGAGACCATTTTTCGGGCACCGGTAAGCTGCTTGGCAGCAATTATAGTGTTGATTGGTCTCTACACTCGGTCTTTCGACAAAATGGTGGCGACTTACTTGTTTGGAATGCTGGCTATATGTGCTGTTATTTTACCTGATTGGGAATTCTTCGATCGTAGTGTCTCACATTGGTGCACCCCTGTCACTGTGAATGACTTCACCAACAAATCTCCCGGACCCTTCACTTCTACTAGGTGATACATTCTCCCTTTCTGTTATGTATTCTCTGTAAAAGATAAGTATTATTTTTGCCCTCTAGAGGTACTTATGAAAGTATAAAAATTTTAAACTTATTGGAGTTATAATTTGAGGGCATGCTCAAATTTGATCTGTTAAGTAAGAGATTATGAGTTAATTAATAAAAGATCAATCACTTTACCATGGACCAAATCTGGGGAAAAATTTGAGGCCCATGCATCTGAGATAGGTCCTTGGAAGTGAAGTATGGGTGTGGTCTGATAGTGTTTTCCTTAATATTATTCTCTGTTGCGTAATAACACGTGTTGTTGATTAAATACGATTAAAAAAAATATTGGCCTAAATTAACCCTAAAAGTTTAGTTCTTGGGATTAAGTTAAACTCCGATATCCGTTTCTTATCATGATATTTTTGGTTTATATCTAATATCGAGCCCCAAACATGATGGGGAGGAGGTTTAGAGTATCCCCCTTAGACCCATTTTTATCTTCTTGACATGATATAATAGCCAAACCTAATCATATTCTTGGTTTACTCAAGCCTTGTGCGCGAGGGAGGTGTTAAATATCTTTGGGTTAGAGAATGGGTTATCTCCTTATATATGCTCGGACAATCTTTACCTTATATGCTAGCTCAGAGGGTTGCATTAGGTCCAAATTCCGTTATATGACAACTACAGAACTGTCCACCCTGAAAAAGAGTAAATAGAAATACAAGTTACCCTGCTGCATGACCTCTAAGTTATGATATCACACTTTTTTGCAATTCGATCGAAATTCATTCGCTGTAACACATTTTCTTAACTGCTGAATCTTGACTATCTGCAGGTTTAAATTCTACCCAGTCAGATCGGTGGTTTACGCAATAGTTTATGGATTCGGTCTTTACAGGTGGTGGATTTATATATCAAGCTATAATGAAAGCAAGCAGCAATGAATTGTCATTGTAGCAGCTGTGGCATACTGCATCACATATTAACTCAGAAATCGTCTATGTCCGTCTTACTGTATTGTGTGTGTGTGTGCGTGCGCATCTTCGCCATACAAAAATTGTATGTTCATAATATTTGCATTTCATCCAAATAAAAAGACGTGATATTTGCACTCGTATTTTTCAATTTATTCTGTATGCAACATTATGAAAGTGCTAGGAAACTAGTAGTATCTTTTGAAGTTTGAACAGGGACCATGAATCTCAAGGAAAATCCAGATTTGATTCGGCACTCTAGATTACTAACTCTAACGATTCAGTCAGGATTACATTATTTGGGTTCCTTAGAATCACATAATCCAAGCCAATACACCTCATAACCACCAACGAGCCAAGACCAATATCTTTTGGTTCAGTGCTTCCACAAATTCATCCCAGGTTCTTACAACCTGAAGACAAGAATCTTGCTTTTGTTTTCCAACATCAAATAGATTTTATTCGACTAGATTAGCCACACAAATATCTGTTTTGGCTGCATTGTAGTGTCGAACAGCTCTTACCTGTGAAAGTTATTACAAACCATAAGTAAATATATAGCATCAAGTTCGGTATCCAAAAATAACAATCTAACAACAAAAAACGAATTATTTCTGATCTCCTGTCTTATTTGACTTTCTTAAACAACTGGCAAGTAGAAAGAAAGGGCAGAAACTACAACTCCTACCTGGTAGTTTGCAAGGCCGTTTTGTCCAAGTTCAATCATCTTAAGAGGAATCCCCCATCATTCTACCAGTGAATATTTCCATCCAGTTTAAGAGTTGTCTCTTAAATCTGCGTCAGCATGAATACCTGATACATTCAAGTTTTTAACCATGGCAACACAAGCATCAAAGATCCCTTTAGTATCAGCATCCTTTGAAGGGAATAGGAGCAACAATTACTTGAGTTGCTGCTACTATACGAGGTAAGACCAGGCTTTTATCATCCCCATGATCACTATGCCAATCTGTGATCACACCAGAAAAGAAGCGAAAATTAGCTTGAACACCAAAGTTGAAAACTATAAAGACAGTCTATAAATAGCTCCGTACTCCTAACGTTCTGGTCGTATAGGCCCATGAGTTCTGCGAGACCATAGACTTCTCTCCCTTCTCATTTTATTTTTTTAAACTTTTTGCAAATTTCTGGCCTAAAAAATGTGAAGGAGCACCTTGGATGCCACGGGCAGTATCAGGAATAAAAGCGAGGCGAAGAAAGCCAATAATGAACGACAGATAGAAACACCAAGAATGTTCAGAGAAAACACCGTTAAGAACTGCCAAACCACGTGTATGACTGAAACAGTCTAGGATACCTCAACTGTAGTCGTATTGAGTCCCCCAGCAAATTTCTGAAACTCATGTTTATCTCCCTTGGTGATGGGAACAGCTAAGAACTCCTCATCTATGCATCTAGACAATTCCAAGATTTCAAGAACCTAAAATAGTAATATGATCAATTCTTATAGAAAGATATTAATTCATATGAGCAAATATATTCTACGAGCTTGAACGAAAAAGCTGGAAGCTGACAGCTGCAAGTCTTTTCTGGGCTAAATCAAGGCATCTCAGATTCAAACAGCAAAATCTCGGAAAAGCCCTTCTAAGTTCTAATGGGATGTGCTTAGAAAATAATGCAATAAGAGTAGAAGAAAAACATTGCTACAAGAAGATGCACAAGCCAGAAAGAAGCCAATAAATAGTTTTAACTGATATTAAAGTGGGTGGCTAAAAAATAAAAAACTAACCTCACAGCAGTTCTCCAACTGCTATAATAACTATCTAGACCCCTGAACCTATGCGCTTCTTATATATCACTCCAACTTCGACCATAACTCTTATAGATTTTCTTTTCTATCATCAGCCTCCGGACAAAAGCAGATCTTTCCCAGTCCTCAGATGAAGCAAATATGTTTGATAATTGCACGAAAGCACCTGAATTCTCAGGATCAAGCTCTATAATGCGTTTGGCCACCAGCTCTCCTAGTATCTTATTACCATGAGCTACACATCCTCTCAGAATGGATAACCACATGCTTGAATCTGCCTCAAATGGCATCTTTTCAATTAGCTTTACTGCTTCTTCAGGACATCCTGCTCGTGCATAAAGATCTACCATACAGGAGTAATGTTCAATCCCTGGATCAATGTGGTAATCATAAATCATTGAATAAAACCACCTTTTTCCCTCTTCCAGTAGACCACAATGATCACAGGCAGACAAGACTCCAATAAATGTGATATTTGTTGGCAAAACACCCGCACTTCTCATTTCGCGGAATAGATTTAATGCTTCATTTCCATAACCATTTGTAGCATAACCCATCAACATAGAATTCCAAGAAACCTCGTCGGATTTCATCATTTGTTTAAAGAGCTTCCTGGCATCAGTAACAAAACCACACTTGCAGTAAAGATCAATTAAGGAGGTAGAAATTATTTGATCACAATCAATACCGATCATAACAGCTCTTGCAAAAATCTGTTCACCAAGTTCAACTGATGCAATGCTTGCACAGGCACTGATCACACTTGAAAAACTAAATTTGTCCATCCTAAAATCCAACCTATTCATCCTGCAGAAAAGATCCAGTGCTTCAACTGGACAACCATTTTGACTAAGACCAATTAACATGGAATTCCAAGATATTAAGCTCTTATAGGGCATTGACTCAAATAATTGTCTCGCGTATTCAATTCTGTTGCAACTAAAATAAATGGTAATCATAGAATTTAGCAAGACTGTGTCATGTATTTTGAGTTCATTAAAAACATTGGCAGCTTCGTGAGGACGTCCACATTTAGCATATGTGTCAACTAGAGCACTAGCAACGATAAGGTCATCTAGCAGTCCAAGCTTACAACCATAAGCATGCATTTGCAAACAATTTTTAAGGGAATGTGCACTAGCACATGCATTCAATACACTAGCTAATGTAGAGGAATCCGCTATAACTCCCTCTCTGTGCATCTCCTCAAAAAGCAATAATGCCTCGGACACTTTATCGCTTGCCACATACCCTGCTATCATGGAATTCCATAATACAATACAAGGATCAGTTACAAGATTGAAGATCTTTCTAGCATCATCCATTCTACCACAGTTTGAATATGCTGATATCAATGCTGACAAGGAAAAGTTATCAGGGTTCTGCTTTCTGTTCAAAATGTAACTCGCGCTATCCAAATCACCACCCTTTCCATACATATTAACTAAAGAACTTGCCAGCACAGAATCAACTTCAACTTCATCGACTATAGTACGAGCATGAATTTGCTTCCCTAAATCGACAGCTCTCGTGTCAGCACAAGCCCCTAATGCAGTTGCCAAAACAAACGAATCTATACGTGATGCACCACGCATTTCAAGAAAATCCCAGTCTATAAACTCCTTAAATAAGCATAAAGCCACTCCTGGGAAGCCCGTTTTAGCATACCCATGAATAAGTGAATTCCAAACTATTTCGTTCTTACGTGGCATTTCATGCAAAAGTCTTCTAGCAACACCCAACTCCTCAGCTTTGACAAGGCCAAGAATGACTACATTCCAAGAAAATTCATTCTTGGAAGGCATCGAACGAAACAAGTACAGAGAATTGTTTGTATTTCCCCATTTCATGTACCCTTCAATCATGGTATTCCAAGTGAAGCAATTTCTCTGAGACATTTCGTCGAACAGTAATTTTGCATCGCTTATTTGTCCACACTTAGCGTACATCTGCAGAAGGCGATTGGCTATTGTGAGAGCAGAGTTGAGGATGCCTCTTTTGAGGAAAACAAGATGGAGTTGCTTCCCCTTTGGAAGAGATTGGCGGGTGTTGAATGTATTGAGCAGTCGAGCGCAGGATTGCAAGTCTAGCTCCATCTATGGACATGAGATTCTTTATCATTCTTTCTTCCTTTGGAGGTGCATCAAAATTTTCATCCCAAATACTAATCCTCTCAAAGATGTCATATAAACATCCGAATTTTTTTACGAAAATGTTTACTTTTTGCTTAAACAATTCCAGGTGTGTGTAGTTTTTATGGAAATTCCAGAAATGTGCAAAACAAACTGGGGTAACTGACGGTTAGCAACACGGGTTGAGAGTTAACGGAACGAGCTGACGGGCGTTAAGGGCCAGTTAACTATACATCGCATCAAAAAGTATGCCGGGTACATTCAATAAAGCGACCAGGTTGAGATGCAACGTCGATCACATCGTGTGGGCCATTCTCCTAAAGTAGAGCTTGAAGCAAGAGTCAGAACTTTAGGCAGGACCTCTATCGATAGAAGTAAAGCAGTCATTCATTAATCCCCTCGACATATTAAAGAAAACGGCTGATCCAAACAAATACAGACATAAATATAAAAAAAATACGGCACAGAGCGCCCGCTCTAAAAAGCTGCTTCCAGCATTCGTCCTTTAAATTACCTATCAATCATCCAACACAACCAACTATTCATAAAAGAGAAATGAAAAACGTTAGCTAGCTAGGCTAGCGGGCAGTTCAATCTATTTGTGTACTTGAGTTTGGTCGAAACTCAAACGTACATATTTTGATATTTATTAAAAAAAAATCATAAATATCCCGTAAGCAGTTAAGTAACAAATACAAAGCTGTTTTAAAAATTAAAAAAAAAAATACATAAGCTAGCTACAGTAGTCCTAATAGACAAGGACAATAGTTCAACGAAAAAATACTTCAAAGTTCAATGGCTTTTGAACATTATTTTTATTAAAAGAATGTTTTTTAATTATATCATTGTTCATTTAAACTACTCTTCAAATCAGTTTCTCAACTCCAAAATTTTCTATGTCAAACTAACTTAAAACAACATATCAAATAATAAATATTGTTTTATAAATATTTCAAGTTGAAGTTAAAATAATAAAATAATTTTCAAATTTATTTTCTATTTCCAAATCCCAACTTCAAACTCTGGTAAGATATTGATAATATTTCATTCTTTGGGCATATCACTCTCATTCTAGAAAATGAATTATTTATTCATGTGACAGATGAGATTTATAAATATAGATTCTCTTTCAATTGAATAATAAATCAACTGAAATAATTTGAGAAACATAAAAGGACAATTAGATTATAAATTCAATTAGAGAAACATAAAAGGAAAAACTGGTGCGCTAAGCTTCTGTATGCACAGGATTTGAAGAAAGACTAGAACATAATGAAACCAATTAGCTTGCACTTATGCAAATTACTATTTCGGCAGCTTGAACATGTGAGAGGAAAGGCAGTTGGTCACAGTCACACTATGCTATGAGCTAATTGGTCACTTCAACAATTTTGTAGAGATTTGAAGGAATTTTGTTATACCAAAGTTGAAATTAGAGTTTGCGTAAAAAGGAAACGCTGGGGCACAAGGACTGTTACAAATAAAAACTTCCAAGGTGGCAATGTGGTTCGTCTTAATTTTGACAAACCGTTTTTTTACGTAAAAATCACTCTCGATTACTGGAAAATTAGAAGGACAAAAGACTCCTCACTCATAATCGCTTCCTCTATAGCTTTTTTTTATTATTGGATGTCTCCGAATGGACAAAATTTGAACTCTTAGTCCATATAACTTGTTTAGATTAATCTTAAGACATTTCATCAATTTTTAATGCTAAAGGATTTCATTAAACAACTTCAACTTAAGTGATACTATTAGTAATTCTTTATTCTTTTAAAAAGATATTCCCATGAATAATCTAACTCTAGAAAATAAGTGAAGTAAGTAGTCATTTTTTTTTTTTAGAAATTTTCATAAAGCACTATCTTCTTTTAGTTGTAATTAGCTATCTATAGATACCATTTGCTATATTACGGATTGTAGATACATTTTCTGTTGTTATAAGATGTATTAGATATATTTAAGCTACTGTATTCATGAATACAGTAGCAAAAATAGGCGTGAATCAGGGAAGTCCAGCTAATCAGTTGTTGTACTCGAGTGTATTCGACTGTATTCATGGCGTGAAACATGGGATTACAGCTGGACAGATTATTGTATTCGACTGTATTCACGGCGTGAAACAGGGGATTACACTATTTTTAAATGGAAAGTGAATCAATTAACATAATAGACTCCTAATATAACTCAACAAACTCAATTATAACACACAAAATTTGTATTTCCAGTTATAAAAAAAATTCTCAACCGAAAAATACCCCAAAAATATAGCAATCTTCAGAGAAATTATATAATACATATGAATACATAAATTATATTAATTAAAAAAAGCATATGAATACATTCATGGCATATAGTGAGACAGTGAATACAATGAAATATATAGAATGCAGCGGGATACATTGAAATACAATTAAAAAAAAGACAGTGAATACAATGAAATACATAGAATATAGCGAGATACATTGAATTACAATGAAAAAAAAGACAATGAATACAATGAAATACATAGAATATAGCGAGATACATTGAATTACAATGAAAAAAAAGACAATGAATACAATGAAATACATGAAAATACGGCGTGATACATTGAAAACATTAAAATATATTAACAGAAATTCAAGTTGCTCAGCCCCAAACTCTATCGTCTTTGTTAACCCTAATTTCTGAAGAATCCGCCGTCGAGCAAAAACCCTGAATCTCACTGTTCCCACGCATCCTGTACAGTAGCCAAGCAAAAATCATGGCAAGACGTTGCGTATCATTTTCGAGGATTCGTCTCTCTACCAGCGATGGACTAGTTCTTCAACTTCTGTGCTTTGCATTA